GTCTTGCACAATTCACAGCGCTTACCAGAGCACATACCCTCCCCAGTGTCTATCACCCAGTCACCCCATCCCTCCCACCCCACCCCCCTTGGTGCCTAGTTTTTAACAAGATGATACATGTATCTGTTATCACATAATCAACGGTAGTTATCGGTCACCTTCTGTGTGTCAGTAGCTGTGCTCTGCAGACCTGGGGAAAAACAATGATCAAGACAAATATGCTTCTTGTCTCCATGAGACTTTCCAGCCTAACCCAGAAGATATGTTAAACTAATCATTTCAAATAATTTAAGCATTATACCTGTGCCAAAGATATGATTGAGGGAAGACGGAGGAGGGAAGCTAAGGTGGCAGTTGCCCTGGGTTTCTCCATCCTCCACTTCTGAGCTCATACTTATTGACTGATTGTTATATCCCTGGCACTGTGTTGAATGATTTACATATATTATTTAAGCCCTATAGCAACCTGAAGAGTCAGATACCTCTACTGTTTTTTACAAAGAGGAAAACTGAGGCTAAAAGTCTAAGTGTCTCAGCATTGATTGCAAGGTCAGGAGTTGTTGGAGTGGGGCTTTGGCACCAAGGAGTATGGGCTATGTGATCTATCCTGCACTTCACCCAGTTCACATCTCGGGCTTCTCAGCAAGATTTTGTTTGAACGCGGGCTTCCTATCCTTAAAAAACATTTGGAAACCAGTGACACAGTGGGGAGAATGCCAAGATCAGGATAAGAAGGAGTTTTGGATTACCGCTGACAGAAAACAGTCAAACTAGCTCAGGTATAAAGGGGTATCTATTGTTTTGTGGTTTCCAGGGAAGGGCCAACAGGCAGATGCTTAGCAGAGCAGGATGCAGCTGAGCCTGAGGAGAATGTTCCAAGGCTATCTCTGCCCTGGACTCCTGCCTGCTTATCTCTCCACATCCTCCTCCTCCTCTGTCATGGCAATCACTCCCTTCGAGATGGAGATCATGGCTGCCAGCCCTCCAGAGTTTTACTTCCTACTCTTGTGCCATTTCTCAGTCATAGCTTGAAAGATCCTAGGGAAAGGGCTACAGATCTGGCTTGAATCAAGTGCTCACTCTGGATCAATCAGCTGAGGCCAGGGGTGTGGTAGGATGTAAGAACATGGTGCCCTCAAGGGTGCCCTCAGACCCTGCTGTCCCCGGTGGGGGGTGGGGTGGGGCGGGCACCACGACCGCCCAGCGTGGAAATAGTGCAGTAAATACGGTCCCATAGTCAGAACACCTGGGACAGGGTCCCTAGAGCCCCTCCCTGGTTTTGAAGCCTTTGCAGTGAGCCCAGTCGGCATCCAGTAGCTTGCTCCCTGAGAATATTCCAGAACAGTGAGGGAGTTGCAGACTGTAAACCCCCAACTGTGGTATTGTGTGCTAAGTTCTCCCGGTCCACACTGGGCTCTATGGGAGGGAAGGGGCTTAGGGAAGGTGCCCATAGATAAGTAGTCCTGAAAAAGAGTGTAGCCTAGCAGAGATAGGAATTCCCAGGTTGGAAAAGGGGCGGGAGAAGAGGTTCAGGGGCGAGAGAGTGAAGCCTCTTTAAGAAGCAAAAACTTCTTCTGTCGGGAAATCGTCCGGGAAAGACGTGGGGGCAGGTCTCTGCAGCCATGTTTGTAGGTTAAGGGCCTGAGACTTGATCCTTTAAGCAGGGGTCCCAAACAATGGCCAGTTCACTGCCTGTGTTTATTTCAGTACAGTTAAGGATATAAGCCAAGGTAAGAATGGTTTTCACAGATAGTCATAAAACCTGTCATCATTGATTGGAGTATAGGGAACATAAACTGAGCCCCCACTGAGTGAAATCTTACCTGCACCAAAAAAGAAACCCATTCTTCTCCTGAGTAAAACTAGATTACAAAAACACCTACTCGTAATTTCATTGATAAAACAAACTCGAGGAAGTTTGCTCTCCCTCTTGTTATGTATGTGCTATACAGTAAGCCTCAATGTTTGTCTCTATATTTAGAGACAAAAGCCCACAGTATTTACCGTGTGGCCCTTTGCAGAAAATTTTTCTGAATGTTGCTCTAAGCAGCTGGGCGCCGTGAAGGGAATTTTAAGCAAGGCACCACAGGTCTATATTTGTACTTTGGATTAAAAAAAAAAAGAAACACAGTAAGGACAGTGTTGAGAATGGACTGGAATGGGCCAAGAATCAAGGCAAGAGGCTTGAGAAAGATGAGAAATC